CCTGGGCAGGACGACCCACTGTCCCAATGGAGAGGGGGTGGGGGGGGGGGTGTCCTCTATGTAGACAGGACTGACCCATCATCCTGATGTCGAGGGGAGCCCTCTCTCTCTCTGGACAGGACTGACCCATCATCCCAATGGAGAGGGGTGTCCTCTCTGTCTATCCCACACATCCGTGACCCCTACATCTGCACCCACACACTAACGCTCCATTTTTCAGTCCAGCTTCACCCTCCCCCACCCCCGCCAAGGCCAGCAGCTCTGAAGGATTCTGCACAGAGAGGGGACTATTTGGTCCATCAAGCTCAGTGCTGAATCTTAAGTCCCATTTAGCACCTCCCCCACCTCTGGGAGCACTTGGTCACTTCCTCACTGGTCAGAAGGCCAACAGTTGAGGACACGGGTAAATGTCATGAGGTTACTGGTCAGGGTCAGGGGTCACTGGCTGGGATTGAGGGGTTTACATGTCTCTGTCTCAGGGTCACTGGGTCACAGGGTGGGGTCACTGCAGGTCATTAGGAGGAGGTCAGTGTGTGACAAGCCCAGAGCAGTCAGCTCCCGGTCACTCTGTGTTCCTCTATTACCCTCATGTCACACTCTCTCTGCGACATCCTCTCTCTCCCACATCCTCCCTCTCTGCTGTATCCTCTCCCTCTCCTGTATCCTCCCTCCCCCACATTCTCCCTCTCTCTCCCACATCCTCCCTGTCTCTCCCACACCCCCTCTCTCCCGCATCCTCTCACTCTCCCACATCCTCTTTCTCTCCTGTATCCTCTCTCCCATATTCTCTCTCCCACATCCTCTCGCTCCCACATCCCCTCTCTCCCGCACACTCTCTCACACATCCCCTCTCTCTCCCATATCCCCTCTCTCCCGCACTGTGCCTCCCGCACTCTCTCTCCTACACTTCCTTTCTCTCTCCCACACTCCCTCTCTCTCTATCCCACACATCCTCTCTCTCCCACACTCTCTCTCCGACACTCTGTCTCTCTACTAAACTCTCTCCCCCACTCGCTCAATCTCTCTCTGTCTCTGTCTGGTTTGCACAGAGCTCTGTTTGACTATGATAAGACCAAGGATTGTGGATTCCTCAGCCAAGCTCTCAGCTTCCGATTTGGAGACATATTACACGTCATCGATGCCTCCGATGAGGAGTGGTGGCAGGCCAGGAAGGTTCATTCAGATGGAGAGAGTGAAGAGATTGGCTTTATTCCCAGCAAGCGGAGGTATAGCAAACATGGAGCTAAAAGTCACCATTAAATATTGGCAAGTGTGTGTCAGTGCTGAGGGAGCGGGCACTGTCGGAGGGTCAGTGATGAGGGAGCGCCGCACTGTCGGAGGGTCAGTGCTGAGAGAGCAGGCACTGTCAGAGGGTCAGTGCTGAGAGAGCAGGCACTGTCAGAGGGTCAGTGCTGAGGGAGCGGGCATTGTCGGAGGATCAGTGCTGAGGGAGCGCCACACTCTTGGAGGGTCAGCGCTGAGGGAGCGCCATGCTGTCGGAGGGTCAGTGCTGAGGGAGTGGGCACTGTGGGAGGGTCAGTGCTGAGGGAGCGGGCCCCTTTGGAGGGTCAGTGCTGAGGGATCGGGCACTGTTGGAGGGTCAACACTGAAGGAGTGGGCACAGTCGGAGGGTCAGTGCTGAGGGAACGGGCACTGTCGGAGGGTCAGCACTGAGGGAGTGGGCACTGTCGGAGGGTCAGTCCTGAGGGAACGGGCACTGTCAGAGGGTCAGTGCTGAGGGAGTGGGCACTGTCAGAGGGTCAGTGCTGAGGGAACGGGCACTGTTAGAGGGTGTGGTTGGTGTGGTGAGATAGATTGCGATGTGGATGGTTCACTCTGATCCCTATTGTCAGCATCTTCACTGTTGATGTTTTAATGTTCCTGACAGGGTTGAAAGAAAGGAGTGGCCAAGATTAAAGAACAAAGAGAGGGTGAGTGAAGGGAAGTGGGACTGGGTGATACTGTGGAGACAGGGAGTAAAGAGAGTGCACTGTGTAATGTGACAGACTGTGCAAGATGCTGGGTGAACTGATGTAAGCTCATTGCTCACCCACACAGCCAGTGACAAGCACAGGAAGCTGGAGCTGACTAGAGAGAAATAGTGGAGCCAGCTCCCTTCAGGACCATCAATCTGTGGTGGCTGTGCCTCCTGTCATCTCGGCCCTGAGCCTCAGAATTCCCTATCTAAACCTTTTCTCTTTTCTGTTTTTGCTATCTCTTTCTTTCTGTCTCTCTCTCTCTTTCTCTCTGTCTCTCTTTGTCTATGCCTGTCTCTCTCTCTCTCTGTCTGTCTGTCTCTCTCTCTCTCTAAATTAATCGAGTCCCATTTGCCAGCATTTGGCCCATATCCCTCTGAACCCTTCCTATCCCTGTCCCCACCCAGATGCCTTTTAAATGTTGTAATTGTACCAGCCTCCACCACTTTCTCTGGCAGCTCGTTCCATACACGCACCACCCTCTGTGCGAAAATGTTACCCCTCAGGTCCCTTTTAAATTTTTCCCCTCTCACCTTAAACCTATGCCCCTCTAGTTTTGGACTCCCCTACCCTGGGGAAAAGACCTTGGCTATTCACCTTATCCATGCCCCTCATGATTTTATAAACTTCTATAAGGTCCCCCCTCAGTCTCCGATGCTCCGGGGAAAATAGACCCAGCCTATTCAGCCTCTCCCTGTAGCTTAAACCCTCCAACCCTGGCAACATCCTTGTAAATCTTTTCTGAACCCTTTCATGTTTCACAACATCCTTCCTATAGCAGGGAGACCAGAATCGCACACAGTATTCCAAAAGTGGCCCTAACCAATGTCCTGTAGAGCCGCAACATGATCTCCCTCTCTCTCTCTCTCTGTGTCTCTCTCTGTCTATGTCTCTATCTCTCTCTCTCTTTATGAAGCTCCTTCCGAACTGATCTCTGACCAGGAGTTACCGATCCCTCATACTTCATCATCCGGGACCTGGACCCAGTTCTGTTCAATTGCTGCTCCCTGTGAAGTGTCTTGGAGGGTTTTACTATGTAACAGGCACTGAGTAAATTGTTGGTGAGACATGTGGCCAAGCGTAAACCTGCAGACCAAGCGTTGTGCCTGGTGTGTGGGAGGTCCTTTACCTGTGAGACTATTCGGCCCATCGTCATCTGCTTGCTCACTGATAGACCTCTCCCCAGTCTTCCTGCAGAGCCCCAGAGTAATCCCACTTCCATCCCCATCCCATTTCCTTTCGCAAACCCCTGCAGAGGTTTGTTTGTTCTTAAACACTACAAGGGCAAGGCCGGCTTTGGTCTGCTGTTTCATGGACAATGAGGACATCATCACAATCAACAATGGTCTCTGAAACATGCTTTCAATTCTGACTGAGATGGGATCTACTGATGCTGTAGGCAGGGGCAAATGGAATTTAACCCTGAAAACTGTGCGGTGGCAGGGGAATGAACAAGCCAAGGGAGTACATATTGAATGTGAGGACCCTCGGCTGTACAGAGGATCAGTGGGATCTTGTTGTGCATGTCCATAAATCCTCGAAGGGAGCAGAACAGGGGGATAAGGTGGCTCAGAAAGGCATAGAGGATACTTGTCTTTATGAATCAATACAGGGAGGTTATGATGGAGCTGTGTATAACGTTAGTTAGAGCACAGCTGGAGTACTGTGTGCAGTTCTGGTCCCCACACTATGGGAAGGATGTGATTGTACTGGAGGGGGGTACAGAGGAGATTCGCCAGTATGTTCCCTGGACTGGAGCGAATCCGCGATGAAGAGAGGCTGGGATTGTTTTCTCTCGAGCAGGGAAGGGCTGAGGGGGATCGGACTGAGGTGTACAAAGGGGCACGGACAGCATGGATAGGGAGAAACTCTTTCCCTTTGTAGAGGGGTCAGTAACTGGGGGGGTGGCACAGTTTAAAGTCAGGAGTGGGAGGTTTCGACAGGATTTGAGGAAGAATAGTTTCACCCAGAGGGTGGTGAGGTCTGGAAGAAAACCCTCACCACATTTAAGAAGTGTTTAAGTGAGCACTGGAAACACCAAAGAATACAAGGGTACAGGCCACATGCTGGGAAATGGCATTGGAATCTTTGATGACTGGTACGGATACAATGGGCTGAAGGGTCGTTCCATTGCTGGCTCTGACTTGAATTTAAAACCCCACCGTGTCGGGATTTGAACCCTTGTCCCCAAGTATCAGTCTGAGGCCCCTGAGTTACTAGTCCAGAGGTACTACCACTGAGCCCCACCTCTGAACCAGTCAGTCACTGACTCTCCAGGATAGATAGGGTAAAATAACAATTAGTGTAACAGTCCCCGACCCTATCTTGCAGTCTGGCTTGGCACGTTAGCTTGTATTACAGTAGATCCAAGGACTTAGTGACAGAATAAAGCCACAAACGTCCATGTTTTGGAACAAATGGCAGTCCTTGACAATAAAGCGTTAGAATCTGCAATACTTCTACAACTTGTTTCGGTCACCCAGAATTAACACATAATACAATATGGGTAATAAACTGCGATCAAACTTCACACAGTGCACATCAAATATAACAGCAATCGAGACAGATTCCGCGGCTAGCTGAGTAACTTATCCCACACCCAGATGGTAATGACACTGTGGCTATTAAACTTCACAAGGGACCTGCAAATCTTTCACGTTCAGTGATACTGCCTTAAACCCCACAGCCAGGAGTCACTGCATCAATGACTTGCCACAGGAGCTGCTTCCCTTCAGTTGGCTGAGCCTCCTTGCCTGAGTCCGCAGTCCCCAGGACTTACACGCCACATGTGGACTGCCTCCTTCACAAGCAGATCACCATCATTTCACCACTGACGGAATCAACAGTGAGCCAATGCAAACCCTCGTTCCACACCCGTCAAACTCCAGCCTCGCTCCAGCGGCACCTCGCAATTCCTAAACTTTACCAACCCTCCACTCTCTCTCAGATATCCCCGTGAGTCCCTCACAGCTTCCTTCAGTGCAGGGTCAGAGAACTTGCTGCTTTCTGAGCTCCCCAGTCAGCTGGGTCCTTTTGGAGCTGACAGCTCATTGCTGGGTGTTTTTTTTAAGCAGTGTAAAACAGTCCAGCTGCTCCTGACCGGGCACAGAGACCCCAGCACAGGGTCTGTGTAGTTTATTTGCATTTCCAGCTCCACAGCTAACTCCAACCGTAGACCCTCTGTCTCCAACACACTGCATCTTATAAACTACTCTGCAGTGGCCCCCAAACTGCAATAAAACCTTGCCATAAACTGTTTGCCAAATGCTGGACAGGATGGAGTGTAACCAAGGTTCAGAGAACCGGGTTGGGCGGAGGGGGTGTTGGGTTATGGTCTTAGAGAATACAGCAGGTCAATCTCACTGTGATGGGAAGGGGTGGTCTGCTCTAATATTACTCCCAGGAACAGGAGGTGCTGAAGACAGCCAGGTTCTGCCTGTTAAATAACCATTGTGTTTCTATTTGCTGACCAGGAGATCCCAGGCCTTGGCGATGGTGGAGCTACACAGGGTAAGATGTTAATGTTCATTTCAATATCCCCATCACAAACTCAGCTCGGACACACAAACACTCTCCCATGTTTACTGATAAATCTGAACCTCTCAGACTAAACCTGTTCAGTGATGGTCCACATCATAAACACATCCCAATCTCTGTCACCCCCTCCGGCCCCTACACCCCCTCCCTATCTCTGTAACCTCCCCCAGCCCCTACAGCCCCTCCCTATCTCTGTAACCCGCTCAAAATCCAGCCCCTTGACCATCCCCCGATTCCCATCACTCCACCATTGGGGGCCGTGCCTTCAGTTGCCTGGGCCCCAAGCTCTGGAACTCCCTCCGTGTCTCTCTCTCTCTGAAGATATTCCTTAAATCCCCCCTCATTTAATCAGGCCGAATATCTCCTAGTTCTATTTCTGTCGAATTGTGTTTAACTTTGTGCTCGTGTAAAGCTGTTTGCAGTGTTTTACTATTTAAAAGATGTTATATAAATACAGACCCTCGTGTTATTTAGTACTCAATAGATTTCCCATCTGTTCACTTCCGAAAGCAGTCAGCAGGATTTTGGCTGTTCTCATTCACAGCTCGTTAACAATCTTTTGCTTTTGATCAGGGAGCCGGGATGATCGGGTGTTGAGCTATGAGGCCGTTCTGCAGATGGAAGGTCAGTGACTAAAACCACCTCCGAATAATCTACAGCCAGGGCTTAGAGGGCATGTGTCTGAGGACAACACCAAGGACCTGAGCATAGAATTCAGGTCAACACTCCTAATGCAGTGCTGAGGGAGCGCAGCACTGTCAGAGGGTCAGTGCTGAAGGGAGTGGGCACTGTCGGAGGATCAGTGCTGAGGGAGCACCGCACTGTCTGAGGGTCAGTGCTGAGGGAGTGCCGCACTGTCGGAGGGTCAGTGCTGAGGGAGCGGGCACTGTCGGACGGTCAGTGCTGAGGTAGCACCGCACTGTTGGAGGGTCAGTGCTGAGGGAGTGGGCACTGTCGGAGGGGCAGTGCTGAGGGAGCGCCGCACTGTCTGAGGGTCAGTGCTGAGGGAGCGCCGTACTGTCTGAGGGTCAGTGCTGAGGGAGCGCACTTCTATGGAGTGTATGTGTGAGCAATTTGGCTGGTACATATCATACGCTGCTACAGTGACTCAAAAAAATTATTTGACTGGCTGTGAAAATGCTTTTGGACATTCTGAGGATGTGAGAGGTCCTTTGGGAATCTAAACATTTGCTGTCTTTGTCATTTGCAGTGCACTATGCCCGTCCAATTATCATTCTGGGGCCCACCAAGGACAGAGTCAACGATGACTTACTCTCGGAATTCCCGGACAAGTTTGGATCCTGTGTTCCCCGTGAGTGTGTGAACACAAACAAAAGCTGCAATCATACTTATCCGTCAAACAGCTGGCAGCGTCTCTATAAGCTGCTGTTTAAAAATGCTCATGACCATGACTACAGTAAAGCCTCCCGATAAGACCAAGGTGATCTCTTATGCAACATGCAGTGTGTCGTTAGACAGGGCAAACATTGTGCCTGGAATAGTACCTGGTTTTTGCTGGGTCGATAGTTACCTGGTTACCTCCCTCTTGCAGGGAGTGGTGAGTTTATTAGACCGAGCTTACAATGAAGATGATTATCACTGAAC